GCGAAATAATACTAACAAAATATAAAATAAAATATAATAAAATATAATAAAATAAAAGAAAAATTAAACACGGGATCAAATTATATACACAGTAACGAATACAATTTGTTACATTTGCCTCCCCGGACCATTGAGCCCCTGCAAAATGGTTAATTCTAAAACTTCATTAATTTCTTGCTGGGCTAGGGATTGGGCTTCGGCTTGTAACACAGCGAAATCCTCTTGATATAAGTGTTGAAGAACGTATGAGGTAATGAATTGAGCAGTGTACAGGTAGGAAGGACCACGAGATTTATATAAATAATATGTTCTTCGGGGAATAATTAAAAAGTCTTGAAGCTTGCCGGTTGGATTAATTAATCTTTTAACAAGTTTTTTAGCTTCTTGATTCCATACTTTCTCTTGTAATAAGAACCCAAGAGAGAAATAGTATGGTAATTGTGCGGTTTGGCCTGTTCATTCTGGATGAATAAAGGTACAAATATAAGCCATCTTTTCCTTCCAGGAATTACTATAAGGCTCTTCCGGTTGCTGTTCAATAGTTGGAGTTTGTCGAAGGTCTTCTAGAAACGTAGGTAGCTTTGTATGCAAGGTTTGAGCAGCCGTTTTGCTCTTTATATTGGTTACTGATAAAGTTTGGGACTGGTGTTCCGTTGCATGAATAACACTATGGGCCGAAACAATATAAGCTCCTTCAACTCTGGCCTTTTCCATCTGGGTCTTTAATTTGGCTAAGGTCTTTTCAATATTAGCTGGAACAGAAGAAGACAACATTTTTTTTTTTTTTTTAATAAGCTTTTAATTTTTTGTGGATCTTATTTATATAAAACAAAAGGGTTACTATGACTTCTAACCCATTACGCTGACATAATTATTGGGGCATAAAGGTATCTATCGAGGATAGTAACACGACAACCGGTTTCCATGGATTTTGGCCTTTAACATGTGACCGTTCATTGTCTTTAATTTGTACAACCCAGGTATTGTAGAGTTCCAATTTGGCGCTATATGATATCTGCAGATCAGACCTATATAATAGGACTTGATCGCTGATTTCATATGATTCAATCTTGTTCTTTCTTTCATAATACGTTTTTTACTTTTTCTGTGTCTTCTTTATTTTTTCTTTAGCATCTAATCGGGCTTTTGTTACTTCTCCCAATAGTTTTTCAACCTGTCTCAAGATTTGCTCCTGTAATTCTTCATCAGTCTCTGGTCGGGTCTGATGGGTTTTAAATTCGAGTTCAACTGGTAGAATAGCCGGGCGTCCATATAGTAAATAGAAATGTTCTTATCCAGTGGTATGATGGAGGGTAGTACGGTATGCGAACAAGGCTGCCGGTATATAATGCTCTCATTCCTTATGAAATTGATTTATACTTTTATTTAACACACCACAAAGGGTTTTGTTGAATCATTCAACTAAACCATTAGTTTGTGGGTGATATGCCGTAGACATATGATGGGTGACTTTCATCCTTTTACAAAGAGCATCAACCAATTTATTGCAAAAATAGGAACCTTGATCGGATAAAATTTCTTTAGGGCTCCCATGGCGGCAGATCAGATCTTCAAAGACGAATGTGGCAACACTTTCAGCATCGGCTACTTCTAAGGCATGAGCTTCGGGCCACTTAGTAAGATACTCTGTGGCAACCACGATGTATCTTTTATTCATACTTGTTATTGGGAGAGGGTCCACAATATCAATTCCAATACGATCGAAAGGTTTTCCAATTTTAATTGGGTATAGGGGTTCACGAGTAGTAGGTTTCTTTTTCTTTTGACAAACGTCACACGTTTGGATATATCGTTTAATATTATTCCCCATTTGCGGCCAATAATAACGGGCAGCAATTTTTTGGTGAGTAGCATGAAACCCAAAATATCCAGCGAGAGGATCATCATGTAAGCTAAAAAGGATGGCATTAACTTCTTCTTTTTTAAGAACTCTCTGGGGACATGATGGTTTCTGGAGATTTCTTTTATATAATATTTCTTCTGAAACGAAATAATATCGGGTCTGATGTATTAAGTTTTGGATTTCCTTCCGAGTAAAATTTTTGGGGACTTCTTGATGTAAAAGGTATCGAAAGTAGAGATTGTAAAGTTGAGATTCCATCTTCGCTAACTTGGTCTAATTCATGTCACTTAGGTTTTTCTATTTATTTAGATTAAGTATTGAAGATAAACGAAACTTAAAAGTAGGGAAAATGGGAAGACACGATTAAGTTTGCCAGGACACCGTAACCTGGACTGGATTAATGGATTTAAAGAAGGAAAGTATAAAAATTTAAAAACAAATTTTGTTTTTATCAGGTTCTAAAAATTTGTTTTCTAAGAATATTTTAAATTGAAAATGCTTTATTGGCGGCAACCTATGGAATTCGTGACAAAATATCAACGTTGGTATGATTTCTCCCAGGTTTATGTACAGTGGTAAAAGAATACTCTATGAGAGTCATTACCCAACGGGCGAAACGATTTTGTGGCAACTTAATTTTGAATAAAGATTTTAAGGCGGAATGGTCGGTATATAATATGAAACGTTTTCCATGTAGATAGGGACGAAAATATCCTACGGCCCATACTACCGCAAGGCACTCTTTTTCGGTTATGGGATAATTTTTCTCTGCAGCGGTAAGGCTACGGCTGGCATATGAGATGACTTGTTCATGTCCTTTTTCGTCCTTTTGAGACAATATGGCACCCAGAGCGATATCCAATGCGTCAGTAAACAGTATAAAGGTCTTTGAAAAATCCGAGTAGGCTAGAACAGGCGCGGTAGTAAGTTTTTCTTTTAAAGCTTCGAAAGCAATTTGCTGTTTTTCGGTCCATTTATAATTTGTATTTTTTTTTAATAATAAATTTAAAGGAGCAGCGATTTGGGTAAAATTTTCAATGAATTTTCGATAGTAGGACGCCAGTTCTAAAAATCCCTTTAACTGCCGTAAGTTTTTTGGTATAGGAAAATTCCTTATAACTTTTATCTTTTGTGGGTTGGTGGTTATTCCCTCTTTACTTACTATATGGCCTAGGAACCTCAATCTACGATGGCTGAAATAACACTTAGAAGATTGTAATTTTAAGCCAGCCCATGCTAGTCGATCAAAAACTAATTTCAAATGTTGTAGGTGTTCCTCAAACGATTTGGAATAGATGTTAATATCGTCAAAATAACTAACAACACATTCGCCAATTAAGTCTTGAAACAGGTAATCCATTAGATGCTGGAAGATGGCTGGGGCATTTGTTAGCCCAAAGGGCATAACGTTGAACATGTAAACTCCAAAAGGAGTAGTAAAAGCGGTCTTGATTTTGTCTGCTTCCTCTACCTCGACTTGCCAATATCCACTGGCAAGATCGAGGGAGCTATACCAGGACGACCCATTCAACGCGTCGAGAAGGTCTTGGATCCGAGGTAAGGGATAATTATCCCTTTGAGTTACAGAATTTAATTTTTTGTAATCTACGCAAAATCGTGTTTGACCGTTTTTCTTTTGTATCAGGACAACAGGAGACTTCCACGGGCTTTCGCAAGGTTGTATAATGCCTTCTTTAATCATTTGACCTATTTCATTCTTAATAATTCTCTTCTCTGCAGGGGAATAATGGTAAGGATTCTTCTTGGTAGGTAGAGCATTACCCGTATTAATGTGATGCTTAACAAAGCTGGTACGTCCTGTTTTTTCGTCTTCCCAGGCAAATAGACTTGAGTTTCATTCTAAAAAACTTTGTAGCCGAAGATACTGCTCTAAACTAAGTTCTCCCATCTGATAGGTATTTTTCTTACTCAACTCTTCTCCATAATAATAATCAAATAAATCACTAATCTCTGTTTCTTCTATTTGATTGCTTCCTTTAGAGATATAACTACGGAGGTTGTACTTAGTAAAATTCTCTTGCAGATAAGCATTCCCTGAAAGGTCATAGAAACATTGTACTGTAGTAGGTTTATTTTTTTCTTTCTTCAATTTTAGTTGCCTTCTAGCTTCGTCGATGTTTTCATTAGTGTCAGAATCATTTTTAGTGAATGTATACTCTTGAATCTTATTTTCCCATGCTGAACTATACTATTCAAAATTCGAATCAGTTGATTCGTCTAATTCACCTTCAAGAAATATTACAGGTGGGACATCATTAGGAACGGAGATAAAAGGGGATACTAATTTATTTTTCCTAGTAATTTGAAATGTATTAGTAGTATAATAAGTTTGGTTTTTAGAAGCACTAGCGGTGTTAAGAGGCAAAAAACTATTATCTGAGGTCTTAGACAGGACTACCCTAGGTTTGGAATTCGAATTTGGCTCTTGGATGTTAATAGAATTAAAACTATTATGAGCTTGCTTATCATCAGAGACATTAATAGAAGGGAGTATCTTTTCGTTACTATTATTATTTATTTTATCGAAATTATTATTTGGAAGGCTTATTGAACTAATAGAAGGGTTATTTAAACTATTATTATTGTTGTCTTTTAATAGAACCAGAGTTTCAGGTTGGGCAATATTAGAATTATCAACGTTATCGATGCTAGGAATAAGGACCGGAGAAACTGGCCGTGATCCAACAAAATCTGAAGGTTCCAGTTTTATTGTAACTTGTATTTGGAGGGGAGTCTTACTACTTGATTCAATTATGTAGTTGGCAGGCCAATCCGCTGATAGGTCAATTCTATACCTTTGTTTTTTAGTTATTATTATAGCATTTGAAGATTCAGATGTTTCAGACAAATCTGCTGTATTATCTTTATTTTCTATCCCGGAATAATTATAGATTCGATTTTCTAATTCTTCTTCTTCATACTCATTACTTTCACTTGATTCATATTCAAGTTCTTCTTCTTCACCTTCTTTTAGGTCTCTAACCTTTACTGGGCGTTCTTTACTCATAGGCTCCGGCGGTAACCTCTTAAATTCAACCGGGACAATTATTTCTTGCTCGTTCCAGGTAAATGTCATTTCGGCGGTTGTCCAATCGATTTTGGCTTGCACCTTAGAAAGCCAGTCATTTCCCACTATTGCGTGGTAAGAGCTGGCATCAGTGACTGCGACGTCTATTGGAATTTCAACTCCAGCAACGGTAAAAGGAAAGGTGGAAATTTCTCCAAGAGCTCGTTTGCTCTCTCCGTGTACGTTTACCATATTAATGGTAGAGAGACGCTCAACTTTTATATCCAGGTCGTGGAGTAAGTAGGACGTGACAACACTACCAGAGGACCCACTATCGATGGTTATAGGAACTTCAACGCCTAAGACGGTGGCGTCACAATATAAAGCAGTGGATTTGCTGCTAGGGATTATGCTAATATTTGCTTTCGTTTTTCTTTTAGGAGCAATTTTTTTCTTATATAGACTTCTAATTAGTTCTGTCCTCATAGAAGGGATAGCTCGAAGAAGCTGACCAATCATAATAGTAGCCAGCTTATCATGTAGATCAGTAATGATAGAATATGGTGGCACTAGGGATGATATTTGGGGCATTTCGTCCTCAAGAACTTTTCTCCTAATTACTAGCGCGCGTTTAGGCTTAACTGTGGAAACCTTAGGAGTATTACTTGTATCCTTTTTATTATTTGCTTTATCTTCTTTTTCTTTTTCTTTATCTTGTTCTTTTTCTTTTTCTAACAAAGTCTCTAACGATTCTTCTTTACCAGATTCTAGGTCTCCATTTTCTTCCTGAAGACGTTTAGACAGACGCGCCGTAGTTGTCGCCCGTGACCCAATAGCAAAGAGGGGAGTGTCCTCTACAGCGATATTAAGAAAAGATTGCTGGTTGTTTGTCGAATTTGAATTATCCGAATTTCCTGATTGACTGGATGAAGCTAAACTGGCGGCCATGGCTAATAAAGCCTGTAGAGCCTCTTGTTGGTTTTCTGCGGCATTACCCGAAGTGGCACTGATGTTATTATTTAGGTTTGGATTAGGAATAGGGTTGGGACTGATAGGTATAGAGGCATGTTGAAGATTTGGATTAGGATATGGGTATACAACGGGATTTGAAGTTTGTCCAGGATTATTGGGGAGGATAACCTTGGGGTGTGTTAGGTGGGGCATTTGGGATATTGGTGGCGCGGCAATTACGGCTAATATGACCTGCCCTTCCACACTTATAACAGACTACTCTGTTAAAGTTCCCGGCAGTAGATGTTCGTTGTTCTTGCAGCTGGGTTAGCATTCTATTAACAGCTTCGGTTAGCTTATTGATAGCTGACTCCGAAGTTGCTACAGGTGAGGTAAATCCAACAGGGACGTTCGGGGTGGTTTGCGAAGAATATAGAGCACTGATAGAGGTGGGTAGAAATGAAAGGTTTTGCTTACAGGCGCCTTCATAGGCCTTAGCACGATCATACGCAGCCTGTAAAGTATTTGGGGTAAACGGGGCAACGGCTAATACGATGTCGGGTCGTAACCCATTAAGGAAGAGCTGGGCTTTGGCTGTTTCCGGATAAGGTTGAGCTCCAGTCTCTATTCGACAGAGCAATTCCTGAATTGCGGTGTGATAGGTATCAACGTCTTCTCCTACTTGCTACTTACAGGTAGCTAATTCGGCAAACCATTTGCTTTCCAAAGCTGGGGTACGGAATTGGATAATAAAATGAGGGCGAAAACTCGTGTTTGGGTGGGCCGGGTCATTCCAGGCATTAATAGGGTTTGGTGGTTGCTGGGTGGTTGCCCACCAAGTTGCTGCTGCACCCTTTAGATGGGAAACGATTACTGGGATTCAGTGGTCATTAGCTACTAGGTTAGCAGCAAAAGCCTTTTCAACCTCATCGAGCCACGTCATGGGGTCCTGGTCCCCACCCATAAAATCAGGATATGCCACCAGACTCAATTCTCTATTGGGAGGGTTATAATTAACCTGCGGGGCCAGAGCTGCTTGCATTTGTTGAATTAATAGCCCAATTTGGGTGGCCAAATTGTTAACAGGGTTCAACGGTTGTGGTGGTTGCGGCTGTTGAGGCGGTGGCTGCGGAGGATTGGGTTGCTATGCCGGATTCGGCTACAAGGGTAGGTTAACCGGCTGAACTGGGATCGGCTACTGCGGCTGTTGAGCCAGGGGTCGAGCTGGGTTTACTAGCGGACGTTGAGTCATTATTATCGATAAGTTTTTTTTTTTTTAATTAAATTTTTAATATTTAGGTCTTTTAAAATCTCTGACTAATCCGTTTATTTGAAATAGGGCAGATATTTGTGTATGAATCCACACAACTGGCACAAAATATAACGGTTGTGTTGGGAGAGCGAGACGGTTATAGACAAATAGTGCCAATTTGAGACTCCAACTGTGTACGAATTTTGGGGTTTATATAAATAAAAGAAATTTGAATCTGCCCTTAACTAATCAATCTTTAGATTGAAAGCGAACTTAGTATGATTTATAATATGATAATAACTAAAATGCATACATGAAACTAAGAAAGAACTATGAATTA